CTGTTTGCCGCCAACCACCCGCGGTAAGTGCTGCTCGCTTTAATGTTTCCGATAAAGTGATTGCTACCGTCAGTCACTGAAAATTACTTAAAATGAGGAAAAACAAAACTGAGATGTAAGGATGTTTGGAGTAATCTTTGCAGCAAATGGGAATTTCTAACCTTCACCCATCATAGTAACATGGTTTTAATGTTGTTTTCTTGTGTTGTTTGATAAGTTGCACCATTGTCATTTTATTTTAAACAAAAAATAACAACTGTTCTCACCACTTTAAATGGTATTTGTGAAATACTATGGTACTATTCCATGTGAAACCATAAAATAGCATATGCTATGCCATGTTTGGCTACACTACAACATGCTATACTACATTGTAAAATACTACATACTCTATCATACTACACCACACATGAAACAGTCCTGCTTCTCCAAAAACTTTGAACGTTTTCTGCACGTCAGTAAAAGTGAATCAACTGTGTGAAACCCTCTTCTTTGATTCACAAAGCATAAACATATTGATCTTCTATACAAGTTTGTGCCTTGTAAGGTCTGGGGATTTTGTAGGGTAAGGATGCCAGTCCATCACAGAGGAGCACAGAGACACAAAACAGACATCCATGCATGCACATGTCAGTACACTTCATATTTTAGTTCTTCTGAGGGGAAGATGCATTTATTTTCCTTTCGGCATGAAACATTTAAAGGATAAGGAGCTTTAGCAGGTATTTTTACCCACCTGAAACTATCATCTAATACAGTAAAGTTAGTAGTATTGTGTTTTGACCCTTATGAGATGTGAATTAATTTGATAAAATACATTTTTTGTGTTAAAAAAAGGGGGGGAAAAGTCTCTTCACCTTGTGTAAATAATTTGTGCATTCAATTTGTACAAATATAAGGGCTTTAAACATCTTTTTTTTTACAGTACAGAGAGATAGCACAAAGAGAAGACAATAATACATCGACATTCATGGCAATCCTACACGGCTGTTGTGATTACTCGCTGACGTCTCACACCTTTCCACCAAACCTTTTTACTGCTCGGCTTTGTTCCCCAAAGACACGACAATGGCCACTATCTGTTCCCTGGAGTGCCAGACATCTGTGAGAGAAGGAAATGTTCGCTTTCCCTCCACCACTTCATGTGTTGCCAAGCTGGGAACAAATAAAGCCCTGTTCTTCAGTCCTGCTGCTGCTCTGAAGTCAATAGACTCTTCTTGTTTATAGACTCATCACTTAATTGTGGTCATTCTCTGCTGTTTACTTGTGGTGATTGCAGCGGTCTGGCCAGTGGAGAGAGATAACGTTCACTCCTGGACACGTCCGAGGGTTATGAAGGTCATCTCTCTGTTATCTCAAATTGTTGCTGTTTTCCAGTTGAGGTAAATGATGCTTTACACTGTTGTAAAATGACGGACGTGCCAAATAAATTAGCTTGAATTCACAACAAGACTTTCCTCATGATGCTCTTTTTGAGTGGCTTTCTGAGGTGTAACAGCCTCAAACAAAGCTACTTTAGCTCGAGTGGAGTGTATGCTAACATTGTTCAGTGTGATGCAGATTTAGAAATGTATGCGCCGAAGTAACTGTGATTACTTGGCATCTTCTCCTTGGGGGTGCTGTCTGTTTTGGAGGGTGTTGATTAGAAACTAGCTCCCAATTTTCAATTCAGGAAGACGCTATTCTCACTTTGGTATGCACGTGTTGCAGCTGTGTTACAGTGGGAAGGGTTGCTGGAAATTATCATCCATTTTTGTTGTTTTTTATTTTTATTTTATTTTTTTTTAACCTTCCTTAAGAGTTTCAGCTTCTGTATTTCCTGTACGGCTCTCCAGTGGTTTTCAATATAGACGGATGTTGCTTCTGCTTTTTTGTCACATTTACATGTTGCAGAGCATTAAACACATTTTAATATCAGACAGATGTGGTTTGGGTGAACACTAAATCTGTTTCTTAATGGTTTATTAAGAAAAGATCACAAAGTCACAGATCAGCATTTCCAGATATAGAGCAGATGTCAGGGATTCTCCCACTGCTGCATGGAGACAAAGCAGGTGCATGATGACATATTCAGCTCCAAATTACAGTCGCACTTCATATCTTTTAATTACATCCACAGTTTCAGATTTAAAATGTTGCTGTTTCCTGACCCTCCTCCACTGCAGAATGCTGTTTAATGCAGTCAGGCACTTTGCAGTGTAACAATCACTGAATCGTATTGGAGGAGGCGTTTGGCCCCGGCCCTTGGTCTCAGTTTAGCCGTCTGTGCTAAAGAGGCTGCATGCTCCCACAATAACACCACTGACGTCACTGGCCAACATCGGACTTGTGATGCCTTCAGGCTCGAATGCCAAGCTCGGAATTCGGGCTGCATGTATATTTAGCTTGAAATGAATGGGGCTGACAAAATAAGACAAGTGGATTGTTTTTGAGCTGCAGTTGGGGAAACAAACGAAACCCAGAATAATGAAAGGATAAAAGAATAAACAAATCTTATCTCGGGAATCGTCTGTGAAACACAAGTTAATGTTCAAAGTTTACTGCACATTGGTTTAAGTATTGTCAGTTTAAGTTGACACTTTGATACATATTTTTAATTTCCCAGGCGCAGACTTTGGTAAAAATATAAACTGTGCCCTGGAATTGCTCTTCTATATGTGTGTGTGTGTGTGTGTGTGTGTGTGTGTGTGTGTGTGTGTGTGGGGGTGTGTGTGTGTGTGTGTGCGTGTGTGTGTGTGTGTGTGTGTGTGCACGTATGTGTGAATGATTGTGGTCTCATAGGAGAAACTAATACTGCTGCATGGAGCAATACATTAATCAATAAAGTTTCTGTCAAACAGAAACAACACATGAGGAGTGTTGTGAAGTGAAGCACCTTCATTAAAGTTGAGTTTATCCACGTTTAAGCTATAATATTTTCGGTTTAAATATCATTCGTGAGTTTTTGCATTAGCAATATGATTTCAGCTAAAGACAAAAGACTAGAGAACTTTTATCATCCAAACAAACAAGAGGAAGTTTCTTCATCTGCTCCCGTGCTTTATGGGTTTTACTGCATGTTGCATCATTGCACGACCAGTCAGACAGACAGATGACAGCTGGTAATTTTCTCAGTCATTTTAGTGAACATCTGCAAGAAAACACGCTCTTGCATGAACATGCTTTATTTTGACCATGGAAATTTCTGTTAGAGCAACCGTGTGAACATTACAGGGACGTCAACAGATACCCGTTAGATTGTTACACTTGTTTAAAACAATGATCAATAATTATCACTGCATGAGAAATACAAAAAAAAAACTGCTGTAAGGCATTGTCAGCTGGCTTGGAACAGTTTGAGGTGAAAATGTGTGATTTCCTGTTGACATGAAACAACGTCCTTAAAACAACTTCATCTTATTATAATAAGATGAAGTTGTTTTAAGGACATAACAATTAATTTTATGAGATCCAACTCATTCTGTTGTTTAAAAGACAAATAAGAACAAGCCCACTGACCTGAAACACACATTTTATGGACTTAATGTGGATATTTGATATCAATCCATGTCACATTTGTTAAACATGTAACCACCCAAAATGCTGACCTTTTGTATATATCTCACAGTTATAACGGCATAAAATTTCCACTACATTTGTTACAGTTTGATATGGAAATGTGTCATCTTTGGCAGTTTTTTCTTTAAGTTGTCAGCTTTGCTGCTTTGTTATTTTTCGGGCGATTTTGTTTTTGGGTCTTTTTGTATCTTGTGACTCAGTTCTCATCTCATTTATTGTCCAGTCATTTCTTCTTCTTGTGTTACTTTTTACTTTTCTGTTTTCTCTGCTATCACACTTTAGTAACTCAGTATAAGAAATTTGGTTATGTTCAATAAAAGTCTTGATTAATTTATTTAACCAGTTAGTGAGTTGTCGTTTGAAACAATTTTGAAGTTATTTGCTATATCTGTAGATACAGGCAACTGATGAAATTCCAAGCCTTTAGATAGGCTACATTCTTCTGTCTCTGGTTTTTATCTTGTTTATGTCTTTGTGGAAAAAGAAACCGTTGCAACATGAATTTCGTCTTTCTCACAGATCTCAATATTGGTGCAGTTAAATTAAATTTGTTTGAAGGCACATTTTTATAGATTTTGACAGTTTAATGACTGACAGAGTTGCCAACCCTCACTATTCAGGAATGGACCTCAACATTTTCCTGTCAGTATTTGAGGTTTTTGATTTTACACCATGCAACCAGAGGATTGCATGATGTACTACTACTTTGCAGCAGGTCAATGATGGCAACGTTAAAATGGATAATAAAAAAGCCAGATGAAGGCCACTGACACTAAAATTCGAGATGATTATGCTGAGGCCAAAATTCCTCCAGTCACCTTAAAGAGTCATTGCCAGTTTTACATACGCTACACTGAACCTCATGCTTTTAGTTACTTTTTTATTATCATTAATAATATGACCTGTTTTATGATCCATACACCAGAAGGTTGCAAAAAAGCAGCAATTGGACAAATTTATTGGGGGAACATTTTATTTTTTGTACACAAAACAAATTTAAAATTTTCCATTTAAACTCAGCGATTTTTATTGGTTACTATGTTTCAGTTTTGTGGAATCAGTGAAAGGTAAAGTAAGTACAATTCAGATGGATTTTCCAGGAAAAGATGGGGAATTATTTATTACTGTAAGTCTTTATTTAAGTTACATATTTTCTCTCCTTACCTTTGTTTAACAATTAGATATTCAATTGAACTTTAGCCACTCTAACGATGATGCAAACCGTGGTGATTAGTTTGTGCGGACACGTCAGTGTGATTTCCGACAGTCCGAGAACGCAGCCGGCAGAAAACTGCGAGAGAATCAGTGATTGAAGAGAGAGCAGAGCGGCGGCAGCGACGACGGCCATCTTAGAGCTACCGTGGTAACCGACACTCATCTCCTGGACTTTATTTTTATTTTCCCTATTCAGCGCTCCAGCCTGAACCCCTGGCTTCCCCCGCGGGCTGAACTCAAAGTCAGGATGCGGTTCCGAGGGAATGGACAATTTGCATCCGCAGTCGGACTGGTCCTCGGACTATTATGCGCGGTGGAGGCAGCTAAAGGTAACTAAGCTGGGATTTATCCGAGCCCGCTGCGTCTCTGTGTGTGTCTGTGTCCGACAGGCTCGCTTTCTGCCTGGGGCTGCAGGCTGGCGGCTCCCCGGAGCCTTTCTGGTTCCGTTCGGGAGCAGCGAAGGTGAAATAGCGGAGGTGTAGCCGGACTGACGGATGCCCGAGCACTAACCTGCTCAGGGGATGGTGGTCCAGTCCGGAGCCGCAGCGGATGAATGTGGCCGGTGGCAAGTGCATCCCGCTATGACGATGATGATAACCCCGCACAAACTGCAGCACCAATAGCGCTCATTATTATCACTTTGTGACATTTAATCTTGAATCTCATCAGATAAAATAAAACGTACAAGACGACCCCTTTATGTCATCTCCATCTATTTCTATTTTTGGGTTGCTTAGTTTTCTCTTTTTTTTTAACATGAAGAATTACACAAGCCTCACCCTCTGCAGAGTTTATAAATTATTATTACTCCCTTGTTGCAGGTACTGCATGTACTTAGCTTAATACATATATTTTAAGCTGAGTACATGCAGCATATATATATATATATATATATATATATATATATATATATATATATATATATATATATAATATAAGATATTATTTTATTTGTAGCATTCATTTAGTATGACATGTTTGTGTTTCCAGTGTGAGACCAAATGATTGGGTCGTGGTCCCATCGCGATGGGTGTTGTTGGATCCGCACTGCAGATCTTAATCCACATGTCCTTGTTTTTGTCTGTGGATGTAAATATTTATGAGCCGAGGAGCTCCACTAGCAAGATCTGCGCCTACTTATGAGCAGAAACTGTACGAAGTCGAAGTGCTGCTGCTCCCTTCTTTTGCAGCATGTCTTTATTTGCTGCAGGGAGGTCCTCCTCCCTCCCTCCTCTTCCTCCCTGCTCCTCCCTTTTCAGAGATAAAACACCCCCCTCCACCGCATGAATTTATGGACTGTTTTTATCCTTAAACTCAATGCATTGGACCTCCAGAGCGAGCTTCCTGATCTGGGGTGTGTGAGAGGCAGGTGTGTGTTAGTCACTGGACGTTATCAGCAAGCCTGGGCAGCTATCCATTGTTAGGGCTTAAAATGTTGTGGGAAATCTTGATTGTGCAAATTTGGAAATTGGGTGTGAACCGGAGGAAATTGTCCCTGAAAAGAAGGCTCTTCAATCAAAAGACATAAGGAGCTTCTTTTTATTGCACGTATGTTTGAGCAATTTGCAAAGCACCATTAGCAACGATTCAATGTTGATTATGTTTTTTTTTTTTTTATCTTCCTCTCTTGGGCTTCCATAATTCAGAGTGATGTCAGCCTGCCCAGGGAATGCCGTCTTGTTTTACAAGTTTCATATCTTGCACTGAGTTGGACTTTGAATTCAGGTCAGCTACGGGAAGGGAATATATAAATACAAATAATATTCACTTTCATTTATCATTTCTTTTTAGGAAAGGGAAACCAATCGATTGAAATCAGATTTGGTACGAAACAAATGTTAAGATTTTATTTTTAAGCCATATTAGGGCCTCCATGCTGCCTGCGACGACCACAGGGAAACAATGGTAGATATGTTTTACATGTGTTTCAAAGCACCTTTGGAACCAATTATCAGATTGGCTTCCAGTCGCATTTAACCCCAATTTCACTCTGAGAAAAGTGCTGTGTGGTTGAACCGGTTCTGACGGCATATTAAATTCTCACTGTTATGCGATTAACCTGTTCATTATCCTGTCAAATTTCTTCAGCCGCAAATCCGTTGTTCAAGCTAATGATACTTTTCATAGAATCGCCAAGTTCATGAATAATCTGGGATGGAGTTGATAATTTATAGTGTAGTTAAATAACCTAAAAAAAAAGACTAGGAAAGCAGAGAATAATGTTTGAATTTATAGATTTTACTTCTTATCTCCACATCTGAAAGATAAAATTCAGAACCTTGTAAAATGTGAGGTGCATTTCAACAGCTGGATTATAGACAGAGCCTGCCTCTTCATTATTAAATTGAATATAATTTCAGATCTTTGTATAACTTTTCTTCAGGTTAACTTAGAAAGTGAGCTATTATTGTAACATGTTAGTTTTCTAAACTACAAAAAAGTAACTGAGAGGGAAGCTCAAAAATGAAAAAATTGGACTGATATTGATTATGCCAGATTTACCAATACTTTATTTTATAATTTTTTTAATCCGATTACTCGATTAATCGTAAGACTAATCGATAGGGTGACTGAAATATCCGTTTACAACAGTCCTAGTGCATTTACATTAATTTGCAATCAAAAAAAGTGTTTCATCTGCCATGAGTCGTGTTAAAACTTGTGTTTTCGTCCTACTTTGATCGTTTTGGGTTTATCACTGTCAGAAGATAATAAAGCTGGCTTCACTTCCACTGGTCTTACTGTGAATGTCAGTTTGGAAAAAGATAGTAATGAAATAATGTGTATATTCATTGCACACTCATGAATAAAATGAGATCACATATTGTGCTGCTGACACTTTTACGCCTCATGAAGGAAATACCAAACTGAATGGCTGAACTCAAAGGTAGCCATTAGGGCAGTGCTTTATCCATGCCTATTTAACTTTTTTTGTTCTTCAGTTTCCATGTGAAACAGCTAAGAATGCTCAGCAGTAACTTCATTCCCTTTGTCATCTATCAAAAGGCCAAGAACACGGTAAATACTTAGTGCTGTGCAAAACGTGCCAGCGTCCCGGTTTGTGTGTGTAAAGTGCACCTGCTGCCTTCCCCTGCTCTTATCAGGAAAGAAAACCTGTCAAATCAACTCTCCGTGGAGGGCTTATCTTTTATTAACCAAAGGTTACCTGCGCCGCCTCATGGCTTTTTGTCTGTCTTTTTTTTTTATTATTATTATTATTAGCAGCCTTCTGGCAGCGAGATGAAGAAGCCAAAACTCCCGAGGGTTTGTTTCCCTTGTGGTTCTTGGTCTTGAAAGCTTGTTAAGAAGTGATTGGATGCCAGCTCTATATGAAACAGACTGAGCTAAAGGTTCAGTTCACATGTTTTGGTAAACATCTGAGTTTGTATTTAGAGTGCATGAATCATTTAACCGCCATTAAGAAAATGTCAGAGTGCAGATGAATTTGTCTCATGCTGTGCTGGTCAAGGTGTTCAAACTACCGTTTCCCTGCTACGCCGGAGAGACTTCTGGTCATTAAAGTGCTCCTTGCTTGTTTTCCAGATGTCACCCATGTCATTAATTTCTTTTTCTGTACCCACAAGCAGCTGCTGGGTTTGTCCGCTGTGCTCTCAACTCAGATGTTAGGTCTGCTGCAATGCCTGGGCTTCTTCTGTGCAAGCAATCAGACAAAGGGAACACTGGCTGCTGGGAAGTTTTGTGGCTCATTCATCACTGAATTAAGTTAATTCCAGTCAAACAAATTGGATGCCCCGCTTGCTTTGTGAGGCATTAACATATGGGTTCTCCTCACATGGCCGAAACTTATTAAAAACTCAAGTCAAATAATGCTTTAGTTTTCTTTGTGGTGTTTATTTAATCTTTATTGAATTCATGAACAGAACTAAGTATATTTCACTGCTTTATCAAAAATCGTGCAACGTTTTCTTGACTTTCTTTGGTTATTTTGAGATTTGGCACTTTGAAGATTTAAAAAGTTTATTTTTTCAAATTAAGTGCATCAGCACGTCCTACAATTTTTGGTTTTCATGTACTTTCAGAAACTTTGTTTTGTTTCAATTAAAAAAATTAAATAACGGTTTTGAAAATGCAAACAATATATATTTTTACCTCCAGAGATTGTACTCTAAAGAAAACCATAAATAACTGTCGGCCATAGAAAACTGGATTGGTGCTTCTCTGTAGATCACCATGAAGCTGAACCTTAACATTTCATATATGTATATAATAAACCAGGGTTTCCCCCAATGTATTATAAGCCTGGCGGGCCATCAGGCTTAGCATTGCTTATTTATTTAAGTTGTTTTATTTATTTTTTAATGCTTGCTTATTTTAAGACTTGATGGTTGGTGTTCAGATATTAATCTTCCAATAACATGGGTGATATTTTCAAATTTCTTGTCAACTTTAAACATTTTTTTAACTCAAAAACATGACAGGCTGCTGGATGAATGGCTGCCGAGCCCCTAACACCAGGCTTAGCAATTTCTCTGAGGGAAACCTTATTTAACTTTTACCAATGTTTTTTATGCAGTGATAATAAATCAGCTGGAAAATCCCAGGAACAAATAAGAAAATAGATATATATGTAAAAAAGAAATACTCCACAGACCTGAACCACACCATTCAGAAGTGAAGGGAGCTCAGGTTTCTTATGTGTTGCAGAAAGCCGTCACTTAAGCCCCGTTAAAGCCTGGAAGCTATTGCTGATCTGTAAGTCATCGTTCCGTGTTGTGGCGATTAGAAACTGCATGAATACACACGGCTGACAATGGCCGCTTTGTTCGCTCCTCTCATGCAACTCCAATGACAATGTTGTGTGCTATTATTCTGCATCAGTTTATATACTTGTTTTTCCTCTAAAATGACAATGTTAAATGTCAAGAGGATGATGGTTAAAGGGTTTGGGCATCTCCCTGAAGAACAGGTCTGCTAACATTAATGTAAGACCAATGAGGGTAATTGTAGTTTTTAAGAAAGGCATCATCAATAAAACTTGAACTTACTTAGTTAATTTGAAATATTTTGTCAGCAGTGGGAATAATCAATGCTTTTTTAAATGTAATTAGATCTTATTAAATGCATCAATGCAGTGGAATCATTTCATTTCACTTTAATAACAGCCTGTGTCTACGTTACATTTCTAGCAAAAACACACTCTTTGCAAAACTCAACCATCTCAGGAGGTTGTGGTGGGGGCGAAGTCAAATGGCGTTCAGTTAGAAAACTGCACACCAAGTTTAAACTCTGGACTTTTTTCTGCACTTCATTGTTGAAGCTGGTAGCAAAAATAATTGTATTTAAGAGGATGATAAAATGGTTCTGAGGA